GATAGATAGATAGATAGATAGATAGATAGATAGATAGATAGATAGATAGATGTGTGGGTGGATGATGATGAATTGGATGACTGACACTGGTAGGTAGATGGATGGATGAATGAAATGATTGATGATGGCTGGATTGTGTATAGATGGATGGATGGATGGATGAATGGATGGATGGATAGATGATGGAAGGAGAGATAAGAAACAGTTGCAGTTACAAAAGTACTACAGGAGCCATGATTGGGTAAATTTTACTTTGTCATTTTTGAAAAACATTAAGATGTATAACATTTTAATTAATACCCTAAAGTCAAACATGCAACTCTTCTATTAACAATGAGTTAAAATGAAATAAGTCTTGAATAATAAGACACAGGGCACCCAGCATCTCTGGGTCTCTACCCAATGGAGAAAAGACAATGATAAGATTGATGGCAAGAACTTGGACAAGCAAGGGCTGTGGGGAGGGTGAAGAACTTGCTGTGCGGGCATGAGAAACTGCGTTCGTCTCTAGAACCCATATAAAAGTTGGGGGTGTGCACCTGTAACCCTAATTCTATGGGTATGAAGATGAGCAAATCCCCCAGGCAATAGAGAAGGACATCCAAAGTTGAGCTCTGGCCTCCACACAAGCACACAGAGGTAAGTGTGCCCTTACACATATGTACAGATGGAGCACACACAGATGCACACACTTCACTCATACACACACGCAAATTCATAAGACGAAAGGGGAAAACATAATTAGGGCACATTAAAATTAAAATCAAATGACTGAGTATATAAGTTACACTAATAACAAAATCATTTTAAAAGGAGCCACACAAACACAACATCAAAAACCCATCCTCCAAAACAGAAGGTCAACCACTTCTCAAACTCCAGATTCCTAACCCAAGACCAGCCTCTTCACAGGACACAAGACAGGAGTGAGTGAAGTCACTAATGCCAATCCCTTCCCCCACCCATCTGCCACAGACCGAGGAAATATATTAAGACTTGAACCGAATACTCCATTTTTGACATCAAGTTTTTATGAAATGTTTCAAAATCATCACATTTTGGAGACATTTTTCCAAGAATTTCATCGCACTAACGTTTTCAGTAAGACCACAGTGACCTCATTCTTCTCGGTGAGTAAGCTGCTCTGAGGCCTGGATTCCAGACCTGCCGAGTATTTTTAGCATCTTCTTTCTGCCACAGCAGCAGGAAAAGAAGAATTGGTGGAGGGAGGCTTCTCTGGAGTACTGCTGGAGCAGCAGACAAGCTCACCTGCCAGTGTCCCTGAGTTAGCCCCTGTGGTCCTCCTGAAACCCTCTGTTGCACTGGGTCTTCATCCCGCCTCTACCAGGCCAGTGAGACCAACGCCATGGGCCACCTGAGAACCCACTACACTCTACATTTCCTTTCCTTTCTACAGGGACCACTGAGTTCACCCTGAGAAGACAAACCGCCCGGTACACTGGGCAGGCATCTAAGCAGCATCCAGGGCTGAAACATTTATCTTTACTTCAGCCTTTCTTTTGGTTGTCTGTGCCATGATTAAATGTTTATTTCACTTTCACCCGCTACTTAGATTATACATGACCCAGTGGTGCTCAGGAAAGCACAATGAGGGCAAAGAGAGCAGAGAGGAGATGCCAGTGAGGTGAAGAATTGAGGTGTAAAAAGCATCCACGGTGCTGGGCATGGTGGTGCACGCCTTTAATCCCAGCACTTGGGGAGGAGAGGCAGGTGAATCTCTGTCAGTCTGAGACCAGTCTGATCTACAGAGTGAGTTCCAGGACAGTTAGAACTATATAGTGAGAACCTGTCTCAAACAAGGCAAAACAGACAAACAAAGCAAAACAAAAAATACAGACTTGTAAACAGAGTTATATTTTTGTTTTTAAGGTTTTTGGTTGCAAACCCTTCAGAAAACAAGAAGACCAATCTTGTCGACGATAAATGCGCCCTACTCACGATAAAGCAAGCAGCATCAAGCCCAGTGAAAGATGATTATTCTTGGATCTAATAGCAGATTGGTTTCTCTGAAAACCACTCAAAGGCTATGCAACATTATTAGAAATGGCCATGGAGTGTGAAGAAAGGGATGCTAGGAACACAGCTCCTGGTTCTTATCTAAGTCCAGAAGTTCACAGCTTGTTGGTAGCCATACATTACTCCTGCCATCTACCACTAAGAAACTCTGTTTGGGCCTGAGGAGTTGACTCCACAGCCAAGAGCACAGACTGTTCTTGCTGAAGACTCAGGCTCAATTCCCAGCACAGACTTCCTGGCCTACAACTGTCTGGAACTCCATTTCCAGAGCATCTAGTGCCTCTTCTGGCCTCCGTGGACACTGCATGCACCCAGAGCACAGACATCCATGCAGGCAAAACACTCACTCATACACATAAGGTAAAAATAAAAAGTCTAAAAAAAGAAAAGGGGGATCCTGCTTAGTTACCACCAAATGAGAAACCCTAAGTAGAAGGGAAGCCAGTGAGGCAAGAGGCCAGCCACAGAAGAAAGCCAGAGTGGCCAGGAGCCGCATGGGAAGCTGCTCACCCCTAGGATTCTGAAACACACAAAAGGCACGCTGCCGTGTCTCTCCATCCCCACTAGGTTGATAAGGTGTCTAATATCTGACACTGGCTCGTTGCTAATGACATGGGGAATTTCCTCACGCCGTCAGGAAGGGTGTGGCCTGGAATAATCACTCTAAAGGCACAGTGCAGGCATTCTGCAAAACTAGAAACCGGTACCACTCAAGGTCCAGCGATCCTACTTGTAGGCCTCACCCAAGAGAAATTCTTACACGTAAGCACAAGAGAGCAGATGCAGAACTGCTCATGTGGGCGGCGTGTTGTTGCTTTCTTGGGATTCCAGCACTCAGGAAGGGAGGTGGTTTCCAGTTCAAAACTACCCTGAGTTATATAGGGAGAGTTTATCTAAAGAAGAGGAGGAGGAATTTTAAGACAATCAAGAGGATATTACAATAGAGTCAAAAGCTAGAAAATGTGCACCCATAAAGATATCAGGAAGTCTAAAAAGCAAAATATACTAAATACATAATTGAACTGTATCTAAGCAGAAAGAGATCTCTACACAAAGTTATAAAAGCATCAAAATTATATACTGATATATACATATGAAACAATTTACTTAAAAGCTTAACGGTACTGCCAGTGTTTGCAGTACATGTGCAAAGTGTAGGAAACTGACAGCGAGGAAGGGAGAAAGGGCTGAAAATAAAGACACAAGGTGTTAAATGGTTTATCTGGTTGAATTGAAATTCTCTTTCTTTTTATAAAGAGAAAAGATTTGCAAGAGAAGAGATGAAAGACGCGGCATCGATTCTTAACCAGCTAGTAGAAGTTATCTCGAGGTGTTCTTGTGGATGCTTTTGCTTCACGAGGAGGAATGGAAAGGGGAGAAGACTGGCTGGAGGGAAGAGTAAAAAATGGAACCCAAACAAGAAGAGGAAGAAGGAAGGAAAAGAAACAGGGGTAGAGGAGAACCAGAGACAGCCACAGAGTCAAATGACCGTAGTAAGTCTGGGCGGGGGCTTCTCCAGGCCTCAGCAGGCAGACCCAGCCAAGCTCAGGTTCCTAGGTCGGC